CCTCTTTAAAACGAGACTAAGATGGCGGCGCTATGTCTATTTTTAGCCGAGTTATTGAAGTTTGAAATTACTTCGACAGAAACTGTCGCTCATTTGGGCGCGACTGCCTCGATTTTAAAGACGTTTTCACGTCAAAAGCCTATTTACTTGCTGATGGATATGATTAGTTTCATTAGTTTACATTAAATACGCACTCCAAGACTTACAAAACAGCTACTCTGCGATATGCAACTGGTACGGACTGGGTCTAATTTGCATCGTTTTCGTACAGCTATGTGAAAAGAATACAAATTCTATAATATAAAACGCCAACATACGCTAATGAATGTGGGAGTACATTGAGTCACTCCCAGGTGTGGTCGAGCAACCCACCGGACACCACACACACACACACACAAAACATAGTAGCGAAACGTCCTTCGCTCTGAATAAAACTGAGTTAATCTCATTTACTATAAAAAGACACGCTTCAGCACTGCTCATCTGTTCGTTCAGTGGCGATGACGTATCTTGGGTCAGCATTTGGCCTGATTCACTTCCTGTAATTCTTTCCTCTCTTCGCCCCTGACACTACTTACTGAACAACGCGTTAGTACGTGCGTAAAAAATGCCTCTTCATACATCACATTGATTTGACGTTCACCTAGGCCTGTCGCCAACAAAAATTCTTGCCTCTACAAGAAACCGAACCTCAGACGTCAGACCAGTCGCTGTAGTGCATAAGCTGTTCCGGTTCATTAGATTGTATTCGGTATAAAGCTCTAATATCGAATTTAATTGAAATAAATTCAGCACAAAAACGAAATATAGGCATATTGACGAACAGACTGCTTCAAGATGAATTCCGAGGTATGCAGACAGGAGGCATGAGAGAAACTGTTGAACTTTAATGCTCGTAAAATGGTTGAAATACAACACCCACATCGTCGTGAGGCTTTTACGTCTTCTGATAAAAGAACATGAATCCAAATAAACTGGCCTTGACCACATTCATTTTGTTCCATCCGTCATACACCCGGCGCTGTTTACACCGAAATATGAGTTTCAAATGAATTAACGATTCTGTAAACAAGTAATTATATCCTAAATAAGCAGCAAAAATTGTGATATTGTTTAATACTAGAGCAGAACGCTCCCTTCGGAGCTCCTCGGGGGGTTGGTCAAGTTTTTAAAACGCAACCAACTCCCCCTTCGGGGGGGGGGGGG